CACTACCATCTACATCTATAATTTTTGTGAAGAGATTTTCAAATACATCTAGATGCCCCATCTGCATAATGTGTTTAATAACATTTAAACGTACATCATCATCTGGCATATGTACAAACGAACAACACCATATACAAATTACAGCTTAGTTCAACAAAATGGTTGAATGAAAAATACTGCTCGAAATAGAAAATCTAATAATATAAAATATGTCTCAAGCATAGCACTCCTTACGCAGCACATTAACCCAGCCACCATTAGTGACTCCGTTAGCAGCATCCCACAACCTCACCACATTTCCGTTAACCTCCGTCAAATCGACGTAACGGTACCAACCGTCAGCCTCGTTTCTCATCCTCACCACTCTCTCCCACCACTCACCTCCTCCGTAGTGAACGGTGGTTGACTCTCCGTCAATCTCTTGGTCGTCGTAGTACACCGTTAGCTTCCCCTTCGTTACTCCGTCATTGCACAACAACGAACTCCAGTCCTCCGTCTCCGTTACCATCATTCGAGGCCTGGTTTCCTCAGCCGTTGCCTTTGAAAATGTATCAGCTACTACTACAGACGGTTATGATACTGATGCAAAATTAATGAACACAACACACGGAGTTTTCCAAAAACTTTTCACTAGTATTGATTGATTAGATTACTTACACGTATCYATCTCAATCCAATCCTAGCCTCACCTGTTCACGAATCACACACGATGTCGTGAACCTTTCTACCCCTAGCCCTTGATACAAGATTTCCTATTTTCTAGAAACCCTTATCCCTTTGCTAAGAATTGCTCTGGTTGTGTCGAACCCTTCGCACGAGTTCACACCCCCTATATATACTAATGGCCTCCGACTAACCCTAACCTTGGCCTCTACTCATGCAAGATTCACTATTTTCTTAAATCTTCATGTGTAGATCTTCTTTCCTTATCTTTTCCTAAGAATAAGGAAACCTTCTAGCTTGAGTAAATCTTCTCCAAGATATCCTCCAGCCTTCCTTGAGTGCAATCACYCCGTGTTTCCTTTGGGCTGACTCACTCRAAAAGCCRATRCGGGCCAAAGCCCACKYYCTGATTCATGCTTCTCCTGAAGCACTCCCATCTGATGCTGCTACAGACTCCTGCTTCAACAGCTGCATCTTCAGCCTTTGGTTTCGGTGGCTCACGAACAGATTCCCCTATGAAACCATCGTCTCTGCCGCTGGCGGTGGCTCGGATCCCCCAGAAACTAACGGCGGCGGCCGTGACGACGGCGATCCACGTCCAGAGGTTGTTGAGAATGAAGGTAACGTAGTCGTAAGCCACTAACGGAGAATCCAAGGTCGCCATTTCTCTCTCAAAAGATTAGATATCTGAATTTAGATTTGATCCAGTAGTTTGGTTATATAATAAGGAACAAGGAAGGAAAGAGCATTTTGTATAGAGAGAGAGAGAGATGGAATCTGAGCCGTTGGATTGAGCAAAATGGATCTGAGGAGAGATGGCGATTGGATTTTGTCAAGTTGAACGGTGGATCATTCATAGATGCTGAGTATCGAGACCGAAGATGCTTGCTCTCAAGGAAGATGCCCAAAATCTCAATCTTTTTGTTTCTGTCAATTGACACGTGTTTGGTCAGGAACTGAAACTCCTGACACTGTTGTATATTCCCTCAAGTTTCGCCGGCTGGTCTCTGCAAATGTAACTATAAGATGACACGTGCTCTTATGTTATTGATCTATCACTATGTACATACAACGTTTTTTCTTTCCACTTAAATAAAAAAAGGATTTCATCACACACACGCACACAAAAAAAACTACAGAAGAAAAAAGAGTTGAGAATATGATAAGAAATTAATGTAATTATCGAGTTCCCACCTAATTAGTATGATTGGCCATCAAATATGAACAAAGGGATAATGACTTACAGGTGATACAAACGAGGTGGAATACATCATTGACCCATGATCAACGGTGGGTATTAGTTAATTTTTAATGGGTTATTAATAGATTAAAAACAATGAAATAGTCTTAGAATCTCAAAAATAGGTTGTTAATTTTAGTTTTTTAGAACCTAAAAAAATGGGTTGCTAATTTTTAGCATTTATTATATAATAAAAAATATTTAGCACTCCAACACTAACACCCATTATTAATCATGCTCTAGATACGAATTGTTTCGTAAGATATATACAAGTTTTTGGATAGCGAAAGAAAATAGATTATTTAATAACTATTAACATTTGTTGTTGAAATTAGTTATGAAATTTGGCTTTATAAGCCATCATGTATAGTCTTAACTAATTTGGAGGAAAATTGTAATTCTTTTTTCTGCAGCATTACTTATGTCAAAAAATGGTTTCGTTTAAGTCCAGTTGTGCTGGTAATCTTACCGGTACGTAGTGGCTCTAGCCGAGCATTCGAAACCCCCTATTCTCGTACTCTTGCAAAGTGATTTGCACAGTATCATACCCGGTTCATTTCCATTTTCAAAGCGTTCTTTCTTTTTTTAATTTTCTACTAAATTTGGATCCACGCCAAGTATGGGATTAAATAATTAAATATATTTTTAATCGAAATTAATATTTAGATGTGTATCCTAATATTTATAAACATATAAAAATGATATGTATTGTGCATAAATGTAATAAAGTTAAATTTTGATCAAACATAAATATATTTGATCTTGTTATTTTTTATCCTCCCATCTATTAAAAATAATCATGAATTTTTTTTTAATATTTTAATCCCGCGTTTCACTCGGATAAAAAATCTAGTAATTATTGAAAAGAAAATAAGATATTTTCAAATATTTTCTATATTCCTTAAATAAAATTTTCTATATTAATTACCACATATTTGTTATTTTAATATATTTAAAATCTTCTTTACATGACACACAGTGGCGGAGCCAGAAATTTTTTCCATTGGGGGCATAAAATATTAAGAGT